CTGTTGAAATGTAGTACTTGGTGCCTCCTGGTGGCCCTTCTGAACACTAAATTGTGGTTTACAGTAGTCCAAAAGAACAAACAAGGACATGAACGCAGATTATTTGGTTATTTCCTCCAGGTTCCGTCGTGAATTAGATATTTTTATTTAGATCAGCCGAGTTCAGTAACCCTTTGAGGTGCTCGATGTTAGATGGTTTGACAATGACGAAAGTGTTATCGACGTAACAAGCCAAAAACTTTGGTTGATACATGGTTAACGCGAAGTGTTCTATCCGACAGAGGACCAATGCAGCAGTCGGGCCTGACAGGGATGAGCCATGGGAGCATCTTTAAGTTGCTCATACTTTTGTCCATCAAATGTAGCTTAGGTTTTAGGGCAATGTCTTAGAAGTTCGAGCAAGTTTTCAGACGTCAAGGGTTTGTTGTTTTCGTTGTAGCGTTCAGTCAGAAGTTATCTCACAACATCAATGGCTAGTTACCATGGGATAGAGATGAAGAGTAAAACAACATCACTTAATACCATGGATTCATCTTGTTCTAAATTCAGGGGTTTTATTCGTTCAGGGAATTGTTTGGCAGAAGCTAAGGTTGTTTTCGAGTCTATTCCTGTAGGAGGTTAAAAGCTTAGAACAATAAACCAATTGATTCTGTGCGTGACAAGACTTCTTCCTTATCCACATGTGTGTATAGCTTAATCTTTCAAGCTTTTGTCATTTTTTGGGTTACAGCTTCTGTGTCCAGCTAGATCCTTGAGATTTCTAGCGAACTCTGTAATACTTGATTCTTCATACCCATGTAACTTTTAGTCAACAAGGTACTAACTTTTCCATAATCGGTGCGTTCCTGGACAAATCATAGGCCTTAATAATTCTTCGCGTTTTAGCCTGTGCCGCACATATTTGCAGTGTCCGTTGACGTGCTGTGCTAGGTCCACATGGCGCTGCCTACGTTTATCAAATGTTTAGAGTCAGAACAGGTCAGGATTATTTCTTTCTTAGTTTTTGCTACAGATAATTGAGCTGAAAATTTTCCTCAAAGAAAATGGAGTGGACAAGGCTGACAAGAGTGAAGTTACGCAGGACAATTGGGTGTCCGCTTTCATTAAGTGTATTCCCCAACTATCAGTTTGTTGGACAAACGACAAAGTTACTGAAGCTCGTTAGTTGAATTATGCATACTTAATTCTTTAGAAGCCATTGATTTGCTTACAACCGTTGCCTCGCTGATAATTCAGCTTCCCGTTAATGAAATCCCACAAGCTGTCGAAAAGTTGTGTGTGTTATTCGAAGAATTTAAGGGTCCTGTCAGTCGAAAGGACCTCGCCAAGCTCTACTCGTAAGTATGGTTAGTTTTATTATTTTTTCAGTTTAAATGTGCTGTTTGCGGGTTTGGCCGAAGAAGATCATGCCCGATTCCGAATTTATCAGGCTCTTATTACGTGTGCCCACAAAGTCGGGACGCTTCACCAAATCTTTACGGACACCGAAAGGGTTTGCGTCGTTTGAAGTCAGTGTTATTGTTTAGGTTTCGAATCTCTTAAAAGCATGTCGCTGTACGCCCGATGAATGTAAAAAGTTGTGGCGTCAGCTATCCGAAGTACACATGGCCACGGGCAACACCAAGCAGGCTACACAAGCGTTAATTAACCTCCTTTCTACGTACACTGCGGGCAACGCGGTAGACGCACGCAACGATGCTGTCAGGTATTAAAGTATTTCCTGACAGTAAATTTGTAGGTGCATTGTCGCTGCGATTCAGGATCTGAGTTTCTTGTCACACAGCCGTCTGATGGCTCTTAAACCTGTCCAGTTTCTTGAAGGAGAACCCATCCATCAGGTTTTATTTCGTACGTCTAGTTACTTTTTAGCTTCTGGGAATCTTCGTTTCTGGTGGCCTCAGTGATTTCTCCGCATTTACAAAGAAATACCCCAAGTTCCTCTCGGAAAACGGACTGACTGAGGAGGCTTGTCTCAACAAAATTCGGACCTTATGCTTGATGGAAATAGCTGAGAACGTTGCGGAGTTGGATTACGAGACTGTGTGTAAGAAAATTGGTCTTCCAGAGGATCAGCTTGAACCATTCGTTATTGAAGGTAACTGCATTGACTCCGTCTTTGTTCCCCGTTAATTTTTAATCACGCACAATGATAACGATAGGAACTGCTTCATTCATAACAAACGTGCACCATCAGCCACCAGTCACGCGACTTATTAGTATGTACATGTGAAATGCGTTTGTGACTGGTAGGCCTCCGTAATTCTCTTCAGTGTCCGTCTGTACCGCTTGCTTTGTCTATTTATTTCTCATAATGAGAATTCATAGCGTAGTTTGCAGAATAAGGGTAGTACAGTGT